ACTGGTATTTCTCGTTTCGGTGAAGTAGAGTGTTAAAGGCAACTCCCTGGGATTCAGATCGGCGTCACCCCCCTTAATATGATTCAAAACATACAATTCTGATAATATAATTAAAATAGCAATTATTTTTTGTGAAATCTTTAAATGGAGAACGGTATGTGTTGCAAACGTGGAGGAGTCCCGCTTCCACATTTTTAAACATGATCATATACTTTTATAAGTATTTAAACAGTGATCGCCCAGTCCAATTCTTTTGTTTTAATAAAAAGTATTGTCATTTCAACCAGAAAGAAAGCTAGCTTCGGGAACACGAAAAATACAAGGCTAAACAACATCCCAGCTCTGTCGATTTTTCTATTAAGTTTTTATATTTTCGAAGATTATTCCTATGACAGCAGTCGTTTTTTTATACCCTTGCAGAGCAAAAGGGTATTATAATTTCAGTCAGAAGTTTGCAACGCAGTAAAGGAGACACCTTAGACCCCATAAAGTATATATATTCTTGATCAGCATCACCATCTGAGTCGAAATATGTATGTACGTCTGTCCGTCTGTCCATCTGTCTGTTTCTATGTAAACTAGTCTCTCAGTTTTAAAGCTATCTTGCTGAAACTTTCCCAAAAGTTGTGTAGTTATTGCACGCAGTATAAAAGTCGGATCGGGCCGGATCGGCCGACTATATCGGATAGCTCCAATACAAGAGAATGAAATAAAAAATTCTTACGCCGTTGTTTTTTATCAGATCGACTTGATTTCTTCCATATGGCATTTTCTAACTACTATTGAATTTCGGATTTCGGACAACTCTATCATATAGCTGCCATAGGAGAGATCGAAAAATATACATAGAAATAACGGAAATAAAATTATAACATCGTTTTTTTTCATCAGATAAGCATGAGTTTTGGATAATATTGTTTTCTAACGACTCTTGAATTACGAATTAAATTTGATCAAAATCGGACGACTATATCATATAGCTCCCATAAATGTGGAAAATGAATAGAAAAATCGTCTTAGCTTCAATTTTGTTTAGCCTTTATCCATTTTGTTCGACATATTTGATGACTGCAAGGGTATATAAGCTTCGGCATGCCGAAGCTAGCTTCCTTTCTTGTTTTAAATCATTCAAATCGGATATATGGTTTGGGAGTTGTCACAATAAGAAAATTGTTAGAAATAGTGGTTGCGCGTGCGCGAGGACGCGAGGTAAAGGGAAGGTAAGGTAAACTATTTAAAAAAAAAACCCGGGCGAAGCTGGGACGAGCAGCTAGTACTGAACTTATTGAACAACCTAGTATATACTTAATGAAGTTTATTATTTGGTTGCATGCACTTTGAAATTTTTTGAAAAACGAGCTCAGTTTCTTTGAACTTTTTTTTACCACTGAAAAAAAAAGCGCTATAATCGGGGCTGCATGAGAGTAAAAAATTCATTAAGCATTTTAAAACTGCTCTTAAAAAATTTAGAAAGAATAATAGAAATTTCAAAATGGTCATATATGCCGATAAAATGCAGCCCAAGCAGCTGAACTTTGGTACTAGTTGATCAACAATCAAGCTACAGTAAAACTGAAAAGATATAATAATGAGGTTTGATGTCATCAAAGTACATCATGTTCATAAGTTGCCGAAAGGGCTAACGCCACACATCTTTGACAAAAGTATAAAGGCATTTTAAAATATGTATGTATCTTTTGGATACATTTTTGAATGTTGATTTGGAACCACAATGTACACTATGATATGCAAACGGTCTAAGAATGTAGATTTTTGTTTGTTACGGATTTGAATGATATATATGGTAACGAGTTTTGGAAGGAAAAAACTAGAGATTTTGGATTGTCTGTAGTTCCTAGAGGAACAAGGGGGAATTAAATATAATCCTGTTCAAAATCATTCTTATTTTGGACTTCTATACTAAGACCTGGAGCCGGGTTTTTCTGTAATTGTCTCCTGACACTTATATTCCCAAAGGAACGATTATAACTTTTGTCTAGACTCTAGAAGCTTACACTAAAAATATTTGTGGAAATTTCTCTGATCTATTGGAGGAGGCGAGGCTATGGGGGTTTGCTAGTTTTATAGTTCTATATTTTCACCGATTGTTCCTATGACAATTGTATGATACAGTCGACTTAAACTGATTTTTTTGAGGCTTCAACAAAAAAGGATTCGGCAAGCCGAAGGTTATATACCCTTGCAGTCATCAAATTTCTCGAACACAATACTTACGGGTGATTCCATATCAGATTTACAGTCGATATTGAGAAATTCGATGAGATATTTTTTTCTTGCTCTTTATCGAAAATAAATCGACACGTATTTTTTTATATGGCTCAGAAAATTTTTTTGACAAAGTTATGATTTTTGAACTTTTGGTGAACTGCCCTTTTTTGATGACAGTCGCGTTTTCCAGCCCGAATAACTCGAAAACCGTACGTCGCAGGAAAAAAATATATAGGAAGTAAAAATTTCATCCTTCCTTCTTCTTTGCAAAACTTTCGTGAAAAAATTTTTTTAAACAATTTTTCACCACAAAAAGTTCAAATGTTTATAACAAATTAATTTTTCTCCAACTTGGACCATTTTGATTTTTTTTTTTTTTTTCACAGTAAATCCTTCACATTCTTCTGATGAACATACTAAAGTTTCAGAATGGTATCAAAATTAGTTTTTGAGTTATAGAATTTTAAAGATTATCATGCACGGTCCGCACGCTCGGTCTCAGGGCGTGCGCCGACCAACGACTCTAACGAGCGTCAATTCGCTTCGCGCGCGCATAGTAAGGGTCAATAAAATGAATTTTTAATGCTATTTAATTCTGTAACTCAAAAACTAATTTTGATACCATTCTGAAACTTTAGTATGTTCATCAGAAGAATGTGAAGGATTTACTGTGAAAAAAAAAATCAAAATGGTCCAAGTTGGAGAAAAATTAATTTGTTATAAACATTTGAACTTTTTGTGGTGAAAAATTGTTTAAAAAAATTTTTTCACGAAAGTTTTGCAAAGAAGAAGGAAGGATGAAATTTTTACTTCCTATATATTTTTTTCCTGCGACGTACGGTTTTCGAGTTATTCGGGCTGGAAAACGCGACTGTCATCAAAAAAAGGGCAGTTCATCAAAAGTTCAAAAAATCATAACTTTGTCAAAAAATTTTCTGAGCCATATAAAAAATACGTGTCGATTTATTTTCGATAAAGAGCAAGAAAAAAAATATCTCATCGAATTTCTCAATATCGACTGTAAATCTGATATGGAATCACCCTTACATAAAAGCTAAAAAACTAGCTATGATGATTTTTCTATTATTTTTCCATATTTTCGACAATTGTTCATATTTCTATGATATAGTTGTCCGATTTTGATTTTAATTTATTTAATTTAATTCGTACTTTAAGAGTCGTTAGAAAACTCTATATTCTAAAAATCACGATTGTCTGATGAAAAACAACGATTTATATACCCTTGCAGAGCAAAAGGGTATTATAATTTCAGTCAGAAGTTTGCAACGCAGTGAAGGAGACACCTTAGACCCCATAAAGTATATATATTCTTGATCAGCATCACGAGCAGAGTCGGAATACGTTTGTACTTCTGTCCATCTGTCCGTTTCTGCCCAAACTAGTCTCTCAGTTTTAAGGGGTTATATCCAGTTGCGATTTTGAAAAAATCGAAATTTTTTTTTTGCCTATTTTGAATGTATATATATCTAAGAAGATTATCTGAAAATTTCAAAGTATTTCGGTAAATAGTATTGGAGTAATCAGTGTATTTGTAAAGACGTCTCCCATGTAGTTCAACTAGTAGCCAAAACTTTAAATGCGTTTTTCTCGAAACTATGTCTTCAAAGTCGGTGAGGAAAATTTCTCCGAGACGGCTTGTCCGATTGACTTGAAACTTTCACATTCTCTTCTTAGATATTTTTTTCAGGTAATGAGACTTGGAATTTTGGCTCCGACAAAAATTTCGATTTTTTTAGCCACTTCAAAGTTGAAATTTTTGTGCCAAAAACAAAGTTTTATGTTTGGGAAGCCGCCATTTTGTCAAAAATCAAAATTTTGAAAATCCCAAGTCTCATTACCAGCATTTGTCTATTCTTTACGTAAACCTTTTGGTTTTTTGCATTTCTGATAATTTGGACCAGAGATATTTTCCTCACCGCAAAACCCTTTTTTGAAGTGGACCCTCGGGAGATCCTCTACAGGACCGACGGAGTCCAATTTTTTTTTTTTTAATTTTTCTAAAACTAGAAAAAATGACCTAACTTTTCATATATAACACGTATACATACAATAAATAGCCTCTGCAAAAATAATTTTCAAAAAAGCTCATTTTTTTGGCCTCGCAACTGGATATAACCCCTTAAAGCTATCTTGCTGAAACTTTCCCAAAAGGTGTGTAGTTATTGCACACAGTATAAAAGTCGGATCGGGCCGGATCGGCCGACTATATCGGATAGCTCCCATACGAGAGAATGAAATAAAAAATTCTCACGCCGTTGTTTTTGATCAGATCGACTTGATTTCTTCAAGATAGCGTTTTCTAACTACTATTGAATTTCGGGTTAAATTTTATCAAAATCTGATAACTCTATCATATAACTGCTATAGGAAAGATCGAAAAATCTATATAGAAATAACAGAAATAAAATTATAACCTTGTTGCTTTTCATCAGGCAATCATGATTTTTGGATATAGAGCTTTCCAATGAGTCTTGAGTTAAAAATTAAATTTCATCAAAATCGAACGACTATATCATATAGCTGTCATATGAATAATATGGAAAATTAATAGAAAAATCGTCGTAGATTCGATGTTGTTTAAAGTTTTACTGCAATGAAAACATTTGCTGAAATTATAACACCATCTGCAAGGATACAATATTATTAGATTTAAAGTTAATATGCTAGCAAGCCTGGTAAGTCAGATTTTGAGACAAGAACAAAAAGTTATTTAAATAAAAAAATAAATATATTTTGAGATTTAACTTTACCTTGTCTAATGCTACCACAAGATATAAGAATTCCATCGTTGGCGTAGCTTACTACAAGAATTTTATTGTAATTGTTGACCAGCGATGTCTCTATATCCTCCGGACACCCTCCTGCGTGGCATTGCGGTGAATCATTTACAGGTCCCGTTACAGCTTCAGACAGCACACGAAGATTTTCGTTAAGTTTAAGTATTTTATTTGTGGCTCCCGCAAACAAGACATTGTGCTTATGATCAAAACTGAGATGAGTAAAATAGTTTTTAGTTTGAGAGATTCCACCAGTTTCTGTACTACGATTTCCATTGTTGGATTTTGATGTCGTCGATATAGACGGCAGGTAAAACTGGGCAACAATGTCATTTGAGGGGAAGAACCCCTGTGCCGGCATTTCCTTGACGCAGTCTACAGAGTGCAGTCGCAAACTGAGTAGGGCAATAATTGAGAGTCTATAAAATACATGTTTGAAGTCCACACAGTAGTTGTCGGTTCGCTTCATATTTATTTGTATTATTATTGTGATAACTTTTATGATCAGCTTTTCATGGGTTTTGATCTTGAGTTCTAGATAGCATTTTAAACAGTTACACTCTCAGTCCTTGACTGGTTGAATATGTGTTTCTAACATCGTAAAACACATAAACAATATTTCAGTAAATGCATTACAAAAATAGTTTTTAAATGAATTGGTCGTAGCGATACTTCTGTATTTTTCAGCGAAAGTTTGTTTAGCATTGTAAAAACCAATTAACTACGGTAAACAAAAAGTATTTCTACAAAATTTTTGAAGCAACGTTTAAACATTGTGTGTACACTATTAATTTAGAGCTGCGCAAACTTGTATACCGTTTATCGATCTATCGTTTTTTTCATAAGAACAACGTTTTCCGACTAGTCACATATAGGCGGATGGCGAAATAATTAAATGATGCGACTTCCGATCCTGTACACTATTATCTTAGAGCTGCGCAAACTTGTATTAAGTTAATTTTTTCAGTATTTTATTTTTTACCTTATTATTTTTAACTCAATTAATCATATTGCATATGTATCAATGCATAAGTCCGCGCGTACCTATTTTGGCCCATATGCTATATCATTAACTGAGTTAATTTTTTCTAAAAATTTTCCTGTAAGTAAAAATAAAAAAATTTTTCCACTATGTTTTCAAAAAAATAAAAACTAAACTAAACGGTAATTGCTTACACGTGCGGTGAAAATACAGCGGTAAATACAGCTTAAAAAAATTAAGTAAAATATGGAAACGATGTGTTTTTTTCTACAACACCGTGTTTTTTTGTTATTAACAATTAAAGATGCGATTTGTAGTACAAATTCGGATCTGAAAGACCGTATTTGCATGTGATGTGCCGATTATTGCAGTCGTCTGGTGGCGGATTATTGCAAATACGGTCACTCAGGTCCGAATGTGTACTACAAATCGCATCTTTAATTGTTAATAACAAAAAAACGGTGCAACATTGTCACTCATCGTTTCCATATTTTACTTTATTTTTTTAAGCTGTATTTGCCATGCACCGCACTTGTAAACATTTACCAACTAAACAAACAAAATCTGAAGTGTCTATTGCAGGGGTGCTCAACGCCTATACACTGAGTGCACTTTTGTTTTTGTAGATGCTCTATGCTTATGGGTAGTGCGCGCATAAGCACCGTGCATATGGGCTTCGATTTGCATGCGAAACAAAAACAATTTTGCTTGTTTCTTCATTACATCTCTATCCGTCGTCATGCTTCGCTGAACGCAATGTATTTTGTTTTTGTTTTTTCCTCGAGCACATGCACTGAAACTTATTTTTCTGTCTGCGTTGGCTTTTGATTTATTTCGTGGTGGACCATCGTAAGTGTTATGTTAAATTTTTTGGCGGATCAAAATGAGTAATGAATTAGAGTGCAGTTTTTTTTAGCATAAACTTTTAATGCGAAGTACAATGCGTAATATGCTTTGTAGTTCTGGAGGTAAACACCAAATACAATCGTAATAATCTCAGTGCACAGCTGCGCCCCAACACAAACGCGCTGCTACATATGTACACGTTTTCTTGTGGGTGTGTTATCAAACGCACTGCCATAAGACGAATTTGAGCACCCCTGGTCTATTGCATTCCATTCCCATATAGCCTTCAATTTTTTAATTTTGTGTTTCCGGGGTGTGTGACGTGTACGCGCGCAGTGTAATCCGACATTTAAGGCTCGATATCTTGTAAACGGTGCGAGATATCGAATAATTATTAAAAAGTATTTATTTTGTACATTTATTTTTGTTTATACATTAATATGTCCTCAAATCTTGGCGCTCCAGTAATTAAAATCGTGCCATTTTTTTTCCATAAGAACAGTGTTTTCCCACTAAGCGCATCTACGCGGCTTGCAAAATAGTTAAATGATAAGAGCTCCGATCCTCTTAGTTGTACAATTTTTTTTATACCTAACGTCTCTGGAAAAACGATACAGGACGGATCTAACATTTACATTAGGACGGCCGAGAGCTTTTGAATTTTGCAAAGAGTTATGTTTAACTTGCCTGGAAAAGTAACCAAATGTAAATATATTAATATGCTGCTTACAATTTGGCATAAAACGATTACGACAATTCCGATTACCTGGCTATCAAAAGGAGTCCATGGGTCAGGAAACTACGACAGGTCAAGGACCGGCTCTGTAAGCCGTGGTGACTCCAAAGCTTAAATCTGAAAATGTAAGAAAGGAAATAGAACCGGAAACCAGAGTAGTTGCAGTCGCAGACGGTCAAACTGCAAATAAATTTTTAAAATTAAACCAGTTATAAACATTTTTTTCTATTCTGTTTTTTTCTGGTTGATCCAAGGCCGTTTTCCAAAACTTTTTTTTGCTTTTTGATAGCATTTTGCTATATGGAATTGAAATGGAACTTGTTAACAAAAATATTTGAAAACTGATTTAAGTTGTTCTATAAAACAAATTATATTTTTCGTTTTTCACAACAACGAATGTAAATGTGAAGACCGTTTGCGTTGAGTTTTTCGGTCTGTCGGTATTTTGCTGATTCTCATTGTGCGAGCGTTTCTCGTTCCTGCAAAAATGAAGCCAGCAAAATTCCCTTGCTCAGGCGAGAGCGAGATAGTATGAACTTGTTTGGTTGTGCTCGCAAGGAAAGCGAAAGAAAAAAAAAACACCGGTAGCACTCCGGGAGTGCCGGCAGAAGTGAAAACTTCAATATTAACGTTGTGTCTAATTATAAGTATAAAAGTACTATTATTTATGAGAGAGGTAGAATACAATGTTTATTTATTGCGCTATCGTACACAAATATGGCAATTTATATGTTGTTATTTATAATATTATATCGTTATTTATATATTACATTAAATTTTATCTCTCAGAAAAATCAACTTCCATCCATAATTTCGACGACTTTTACACCATCGCGATGGTATAACCGCAGATTTAACATAACATAACATCAAAATAGCATTTAAAACTGGAAGATTTTAGCTTATTCTACCTTATTTAATTAAAAATCTAGCTTATAAACAAGCTAAATTGGCAACCGTGTTGACAAACTCCCAAAATTGAATTTTTAGCCCGGGCCCCAGACTACCTCTGTGCGCCCCTGCAAGGTAGTCTCGACCCATGATACAATTATACAAGGTAGTCCACTCGGCAAAATCCATAGTCCCCTATTTGAGCTTTGACAAGTAAGTGTGAGTGAAACGGCTACATAGTGCTTCAGTTTGACAAACAGGGACGCACTGAAAATAAGGGACCAAACCCGAACGACTTCGGCAAGCCGAGTGGACTACCTTGTATAATTGTACCATGGTCTCGACCATGGTAGAATTATACAAGGTACTCTCGTCGGCTGCAAAATCGTTCGGGTTTTTCCCCCTATCGACCCGAACGCTCGGGTTTTCGTAGGAAAACACTCTTTCTCTCGCTCTAATTGTAGTGTCGATAGGGGAGTGACGAGCCGACGAGACTACCTTGTATAATTGTACCATGACTCAGGCGCGGTAGAAAGAGTGGGAGATACTAGTTCCTCTCCCTTTCCCACGATCTTACGCTTTTTCGATCAGCATAACGGGACTCTGACGCGAGTTTGAAAGTTTTTACCCATACAAAAAAGTGCTCAGCGCCGCTAAAGAAGTTTTCACTTCAAAAACGGCCATCTGTTATTTGCGAGCACTGTTATTAAATCAAACAACGAACCGAAACTGTTGCAATGCGCAACTCTTTATTTCAAAATTATAAAAAATTAATTATAATATAACTTGTTATGTCCTGCCTTTTTTTTTTGAAGTGAAAACTTCTTTAGCGGCGCTGAGCAGGGTAAAAACATTCAAACTCGCGTCAGGGTCCCGTTATGCTGATCGAAAAAGCGTAAGATCGTGGGAAAGGGAGAGGAACTAGTATCTCCCACTCTTTCTACCGTGCCTGAGTCATGGTACAATTATACGAGGTAGTCTCGTCGGCTGCAAAATCGCTCGGGTTTTTTCCCCCTATGGTTCACTGCGCTCGGGATTTCGAAGTGAGAGGTTGTCCGCGGACGATTTTTTCTCAAAACGTTAACCCTTGTGTGCTTCTGAAAAATACTTGTTGCAATTATTGCAGCAAGCACATACAAGGCGCAACATGTAATATTGCAGAAAAATATTTTGAAATGTAAACAATATGGGAGCGAGTCCTGAAGGGCAGCTTTGTGTAAAAACCAAAAATTTCGGACAAATTAATACTCATGGTCATATAACAGTCCTTTTTAAACCCCGTGCACAGCATAAGGGTAAAACGACATCATCTTCTTCTGTTTCTTTCGCACTTACGGGAAAACACCCTCTCACTCGCACTCATTGTAGTGGCCAATAGGGGGAAAAAAAGCCGACGAGACTACCTTGTACTTACACTTAAATAGGTTCGAATCAAAACTGTTTGTTTCTTAATTCAGTTATCATAAACCAATGGAATCAGTTGTAAAAATTTGCGATGATGATTCTGATAATAACGATGGTGTAAAAGTCGTCGAAATTATGGATGGAAGTTGATTTTTCTTAGAGATAGAATTTAATGTAATATATAAATAACGATATAATATTATAAATAACAACATATAAATTGCCATATTTGTGTACGATAGCGCAATAAATAAACATTGTATTCTACCTCTCTCATAAATAATAGTACTTTTATACTTATAATTAGACACAACGTTAATATTGAAGTTTTCACTTCTGCCGGCACTCCCGGAGTGCTACCGGTGTTTTTTTAACTTGTGTACTGTGCCGCTTGCCGACTAGCCATCGATATCCCAGGGAGGGGAACAACCATAGCGAACACTTACACGGCAGACACAACAAAAATAAACAAAACGGAATTTTGAATCTACGATCTGAACATGGACTAAAAACAACGGATTTTGGGACAGATACATATGGACTCAAAAGATAGAACTAGAGTCTTCTGAGGCCCTCCCAACCTTGGGTGCATCTTATATTGCACCTCCCTAATATGTAACTCGTGGAAATATTTATTTCATCTCACCCCCCCTATTGCAAACTCTACTCACTCATGTTGTTTTCTCTATCTCGTTATAATTCAATTTTGTACTTAAATATTAACATGTATTACATCTAACACCTAACCACGGTACCGCGGGACGAATTACACGAAACATTAAGCAATAAATAATAAATAAATAGAGTGTAATAAATAATAATTAAATAAATATTGCATAAGAAATAATAAATAAGTACGGCGTATATCACATGTTAATATTAAGGTTTCAACTACTTCATTTACTTTAATTCTTTTTGGAATTAATTTTTGGACTGTTGG